CACGCATGCTTTGGGCACTTGGTCCAGAAAAGGTTAACCATCATTGCCTTACACTCTGACCAGGCTGTTGCTTAATATTCTAATGTCCAGTAATCTGTAGTTTTCAACTCAATGGGTTGCTGGAGTTTGGGGGGAAATGTACCATCTGTGGAGGAAGAAAAGACACAAGAAGATGGGAAATTACAGTTGTCCAAGGGTTCTAATGGGTGGACTCTCACTCAAATGGAGTTGTACATGCAATTGTGTGTGTCTGCCGCTTGCGTGGCCCAGTTCCAAATGAACCGCAGCCCAGTACTGGGTCAAGGTCCAGGACTTAGGGACCAGTGGTGGTATTCAGCCGGTTCTATCCGGTTCGGGCAAACAGGTAGAGACGGCTGCATGAGGCTCCTCCCACCCACCCGGACATCATCAGGTCCCATTTTTGACGCTCTGCGCATGCGGAGAGGTGGGCGTGTGCACTCACATTTGCAAACCAGTAGCAAAGGTAAGTAAATACCACCCCTGTTAGGTACTCATCATATCTCTGAAATGATGATGCAAGGAATCACAAATGGATGAAAAGAAAAATCTATATTTAAAATTTGTTGATATTCTCAGGTCAATACTCAATAGTGCCTTCAGGCATAAATTGCTTGGATATACTCACTCAGTGAGGTGATGGCAGTCCCTCCAAAAAGATTATATCAAAGGATTCCCTCTTTTATGAATAATTAAATCTTGCAATATGTACAAATCATCAGGGGTGAAATGCTCCCAGTTCGGACCGGATCGCCCGATCCGGTTGTGATGGCAGCAGGTGATTCGGAGAACCAGTAGCAAAAATCCCTGCCCCCGCCCCCATGCCCAGCTGAGCCGCACGATCATCAGAGACTTTTTTTTTTTTACTTTTAAAAGCATTTTTTCTACAACCTCTTCGGCCGAAGAGGTTGTAGGAAAAAAAATGCCTTTAAAAACCTCTAACAATCCCAGCTGAGTTGCCTGATCGTCAGAGGCTTTTAAAAGCATTTTTCCTGCAACCTCTTAAGGTTGTAGAAAAAATGCTTTTAAAAGTAAAAAAAAAAAAGTTGGCCACGCCCACCCAGTCACATTTACCCCACCTCCACCAAGCCACGCCCACAGAACCGATAGTAACAAATTTTACATTCCACCACTGCAAATCATTATATCTCTACATATCCTTTTATTGCATTAATTGCCAAAAGCTTCTGAGCGGCAGCAGGCATACCACTAATAAATAAATACATATAAAATACTGCAGCTTATTGTTTATTAAATATAGCAGGAAGAGGATTTCCTTGTTGGTTGGGCAATCTGTGGTCTGCCAGATGCAGTATGCAACTTCAGCTGGCCAAGGGTACTATGACTTCGGAAAGGAAGACATTCCCATCCCCTATATGTCCCATTCTTTCTTTAAAGCAGAAATTCAGTCCTTCCTGAAGATCAGAAAAGTATTAACTGTTAAAGGTTGGCGATTAAAATTCCCTTCTTGGAGGTGATTGAACAAATGATTGTTGGACTATTTCAACTACTCTTGGATGAAATTATCTTCTACATTCATTTCTAGCTGGCTTTTATACCTTAAGATAAATCTTGGGAGTTCCAATGATGGGGGAATGTAATCTATATATATAAAAGCCAAATGCCACTCACTCATCACAAAATCTCCAGAACCGTAAAGCCTACAAACTTGAAATTTGGCAGGTATGTTCCTCTTGGCTTCTAGGTGCTCGCTAAGAAAGGATTTTTCAAAATGACCATCAAATCATTAGTATTTCATATACAGTATTATATTCACATGCTCTGGTGCTAAGGAGTTAGACATTCTACTCCCCCTCCCCACCTGAAAGGAACTCTGTCCCAACTGCCAGTTGCCTTATATTAACACATTCTGATGCTACCCCTTCGCTAAACCGGGCATGGGCGTGGCCAGCACATGACTCATCCAGCCTGTGGGCTTGGACATTCACTCCCCCTCTGTTCCAACTGCCAGTTGCCTTATATTAACATGCTCTGATGCTATGGAGTTACCCATTCTACATTAAGGTTCAGGCTTTAAGTGTCAATTTATCAAGCCCAATCACATAGTTTCATAGCGAAGTACGGGTGTCCAGCTAGTCCTGTATATTAGTAGAACATAGAATTATAGGGTTGTTCTCTTGAGCTCTTGGTACCATTCATTATTTGGGAAAGGCTGTAGACGCTGAGTCTGGATGGGGCTACTTCATGAGACTCCTTTTTTGGGTGGAAAATGTCAAGATAGTGATAGTTTTATTTCCCAAGTCTGTGTAGCCCATTTGGAAATCAAAACATTGTTGGGAATGGAAAGATAATTTAATCAAGAATGTAATGCAATAACTCTTATGAAGGATTTACCATTAGAATAGCAGTTACAATATAAAGAAGAAAGGTGAAACACATAGAAAAAATGAGATATACAAAAATTATCACCATAGAAAAAACGAGATATACAAAATGATCACCGTCAGTTAATACTTAGCTGGGTAACCTTTAGCATGAATTACAGCCTTACGACGTCTTCCCATGGAGTGAATCAAGTCTTTTAGTTCTGCAGCTGTTATAATGTGAAACTAAGATTGAATGATGGCTTCTATTAACTGGATTTTATTGTTGGGTCGCTTCTGATTTCTAGATTTTCAATTGGGTTAAGGTCTGGTCTGGGCTATTCCCAGGCCATTCCAGCAGTGGAATAGGATTATCTTGAAACTCCAAAAAAAAGTGTTGTTAAAAATACACTTTTCCCAAAATGTTTCCACAATTTTGGCCACTACTGTAGGTATATAGCACACTTTGATAACTTGAAAGAATGCCACAAAGAAGTTGGTCACGTCTGTCCTCTCATCTTAAGGTCCCAGAATAATGGGTTTAATCACAGAAAGGCAAATTCTGACGGAATGTCGGAAAAACTTAAAATGGATAAATTTGATGGCATCATCAACACACCAGATGCCTCACTGTTGATTTCATTCCTAGCATCACTTTCCTTGCTTTTACTTAGGAAATATTTTCCTTTTCTCTATATCCTTCTTAGGAGTTTCTCAATCTCTGCTACTTGAAGATGTATGGAATTCAACTTCCAGAATTCCCCAGCCAGCATGCTAATTTAATTGTTTGGTTTCCTTATAGTGAGTAATTGTTTCCCATGTTTTGTTGTTGTTATATTTTCCTGTTTGAAAGTCATAAGTGCCAATTATTCCCAATCACCTGTAAATTTAAGCCTGTCCACTGGGATGACTCTATTTCTCATTTTTTAGCATGTACTGTGAAAGATTCACTATTGTCAGAATTTAAAGCTTTCAGATAGTGGTGGAATACAATTTTTTTACTACTGGTTCTGTGGGCGTGGCTTGGTGGGTGTGGCGTGGCTTGGTGGGCGTGACAGCAGGATACTGCAAAATCCCCATTCCCTCCCCACTGCTGGGGAAAGGATATTGCAAAAACTCCATTCACACCCCACTCTGGGGCCAAAGGTGGTATTTGCCGGTTCTCTGAACTACTCAAAATTTCCGCTACCAGTTCTCCAGAACCTGTCAAAACCAGAATAGCACCCCTGCTTTCAGATGTAAACAGTAATTTTCTGATGAAGAGCCTATACACCTAACGCAGGGGTCAGCAACCCGCAGCTCTGGAGCCACATGTGGCTCTTTCATCCCTCTGCTGCAGCTCCCTATTGCTAGTCGGCTCCCCAATTGATAGGACTTTTGGTTAGGACAGGTAGAGGGAAAAGGATGCAACACTAGGAGACTCTATGGTGGGGGAACCGGACTTCCAGTCAGCAGAGGAAAAAGGACGCCATGCTAGGAGACTATGATGGGGGAACCGGACTTCCGGTCGGCTCCAGAATTGAACGGGGGCTTCCGGTTAGGAACTTTGTGGTTCTTTGAGTGTTTAGGTTGCCGACCCCTGACCTAACATGTTGGTTTCCAGCACAATTTAAAAGCCTGATGCAATAATGGAGGTGATCTTTTCACATCACAAGAAGGCAATAAGGAAAGTTAGCCTCGCATATTGATTTTTGGGGGAAAAAACTAACCAGTACTTCAGTTGAATATTATCAGTTCTTGTCACATCTTGTATGAAAAAATATTGTCACATTCCTACGCATTAACCCCTTTTAGAAGCATGTGTTAAAATATCAAAATTCTATTATTAAATGTTCTCAGGAAATCTGTTAATTGCATCTTAACATTTGTTTTTGTAAAGGCATGTGCAGAATTCGCCTTATGAAAGAAAAAAGTTAGTTGGAAATTCTTCTGTGGAGCAGGACAACTTGTGGAATTCTGCCTCTCACCCCTCCCAAACAAAAATGAACAGAAAACAGGGGACACAAGGGGTGTGTGAAGAAAGCAGCAAGCCAAATGTATCGGCAGGGGGCAAACTCTTATAGGTGATCAGAGGAGACACTACTCCATCTGCAAGACAATTTCATGATTAATTAATAGAATTATATACAATACACTAAAGGGGGAAATATCACCAGTAGCAATTATTATCTTGTAACCTGTATATAAATCACAAGATCATGGGAACAACTGAATTTTCAAAATGAATTTCAAATTATTGCCCTTCCCATAAGATAGGGATGGCTAACCTTGTCGTTGCGTGCCAGAAGTGCACACATGCCTGCACCCATAATGCAATACACACGCAACCTCCCCACCCCCGCCACCCAGGCACGTGCGTGACCCCCCCCCACTCCCCCGCTCGTGACCCCCCCCACCCCATTTTGGGCCTAGTAGGCCTCCCTGAAGCCTCCTGGGACCAAACATGGGCCACAAGGGTGCAGTGCGGCGACCCCCCTCATTCTCATGCGCGGCAGAGACCCGACGGGAGGCGTGCACGCATGCAGGATGCAGCTGAGCTGGGCGACGGCTCGCATGCCCGCAGATAGGGCTCTGAGTGCCATCTGTGACACACGTGCCACAGGTTCACCATCACGGCCATGAGGAATACATATCATATAGAATGAAGGGGAACAGGTATTTGTGTCATTCAACAGTAGCTGTATTTTAAGAACTACATTTCAGAAGATATTATGTATTTCCCACATATTCTCACACATCACAGACACATTTTTTTTCCAATAGCAGGCATCAAAACACAAGATTAAAAAAACCCAAAAGTAACAGTACCTAAAACTGTCTTTTATCAGTGCATTGTAAACTAAGATTTTGCACTACTAAAGTGCAATGTATTTCTTTTTCCCAAACCAACTATTTTAGACGTTTTCAAATTTACACCTTTGGCAAAAAAAAAGAAAAACATATTGGAAGGCTGCATTTCAATTCAATCTTCTTCTTTCTAATGAGACACTGGGCTTTTCTACATGAAGCTCTCTATACACAATATTCCACAGTTCCAGTCTGGAGTGCCATTTGACATCAAGGACTAAACACAGGAATTGCTTTGTTTCAGCCAAAGGCAGAATGATTTTATCGATGTTAAGTCCAACGTTGCCCTCCGAAAGCCACCTTCTTCCTGGTCTATCTATATGTGATAGCATCAGGAGCGCTGGTCTTCTGTTGCCTCCTTGTGGCTCAAAACTATATCAAAGCAGGGGTGAAATGCTACCAGTTCGAACCAGTTTGGCTGAATCGATAGTGATGGCGGCGGGTGGTTCAGAGAACCGGTAGTGACGGCAGCGTGAGGCTCCGCCCACCCGCCCAGTCATTGTTACTTCCTGGTTTTAACCAGGAAGTAACCTGTTTTTTACCCTTTGTGCATGTGCAGAAGGGTTTGCGCATGTACAGAGGGTCCGTGCGTGAATGTAATGTGCGCGCGTGGTACATGCACTTCCGAACCAGTAGGGACGGTAAATAGATTTCACCCCTGTATCAAAGGCTTTACTTGTAACAATGTTAACAAAGCTGCATGGCATTTTCAGGTTCCACCTTCCCAAAAAAAGCCAAGAATCCTGGCTTCAGACATTACTTCAGCTCTGTATAGAATTCACAGTAAACAGGAATGCAGACGATCCCAAAAACTCCGGTTTTTGTAGAGGTGTTGTGACCCAAGGTGGGTCTTCAAAACTCTCATGGAAAAGTGACTTCGTGGCAAATGAAGAAACTTTTCCTTGGTTATCTAGGAGTTAACACTCTCAAATCTGCATTCCTAGCTTAATGAAATACAATTACAAAGCCCATACTCGTATTTCTTTCCTGACGTATGAAAGATCAAAGTGGATTTAAAAAAAAAAAAGAAAGAAAGGCTTGCTACTCTCCTCTCTTCACCAACTGATCTGGCACTTGATTTGGCCTAGAGAAGGCAGAGTGCAATGAGGAAGTTTAAACCATGCATGGCTAAGTGAAAAATATGACACAACAGGTTTTATTGACCAAGGGCACTCGCTATGGCTTGTCCCATTCTATTAACATCCTGAGCGGGGAAAAAAGTCAATTTCTATACATAGGCATTTGGCCTAGTTTGATAGGATTAGAAATCAATGTATTGTTTATGACAAAATGACACAACGGATTCAAAAGCTCTTAAAAGTCTCCATCTCTTATGTCCTTCATTTTTCTGTATCCCTCAACGGGCTTTAGTTGCAATATCAAAGAGAAGGTTGCCCTTTAAGAAAATATGCTAATTAATAGATATGAGTTGATTTAAAGTTGGAAGTTATCCATGTTGATTCCTAACACGGAAAATATAGGAAGAAAATCAAAATTGTTCCTCTAGGTAATTCTTATGTAGGCGATCACAAAGGTGCTATCACAAGTAAATATCATCAAGTACCAGGTGCCAACTGTTGTATCTAGGCAGAGAACATAAGAGTTACTGGTGACGGGTTCTTCCTTAGTAAGGATGAATTATTCTATAAGGTTTGGTGAAGTTGAAGGAGTGACGAATGGAGCATTTCGGAGTTCTGGTCATTCCCCTAGATGGGTGGAGTGGATCAGAGCTGGACCAGGCAATCCATCTGTTTTTTAAGTGCTGTGTGCAATATTAGCGCTTAATAGCTTCCCCCTTTAGGTGAAACAGCTCCAATATCCTGCAGAAGTCCACGATTAGTCATACCGTCCTTTGATCATCATATTCAACAGGGGACCCACCTGCTCAAAGGAAAAACAACAAAACACATTGCTTTATTAGCTACAAGTTTATCAAGGTTAGAAGTCATATTACCGTATTTTTCAGAATATAAAATGCACTTCCCCCTCCCCCAAAAAAGAGGGTGAAAATTTGGGTGCGTCTTTTATACCGAATGTAGCCCCGTCCACCCACCAGCCCCCACCCATTGGCCTCTGCCTCCCAGCAATTTGCCTCCTTACAGCAAACAGTCCGTTTCAGTTTCAGCACAGCCTGATTAGCACAAGCAGTTGTCAGTTGGATCGGCCTCCCGACCATCAGCTGTTTCAGGCTGCAGGGATTGCCATTGCTTATTGCCACCTCCGCTGTTCGCTGTTTGCTGCAAGCAGGCAAATTGCTGGGAGGCAGATTTTTTTTTTTTCTTGTGCTAATCAGGATGTGCTGAAAATGAAATTGAAACTGAAATAGGCTGTTTGCTGCAAGGAGGCAAATTGCTGGGAGGCAGAAGCAGATTTTTTTTTTCTTGTTTTCCTCCCCAAAAAAGGTAGGTGCGTTTTATAATCCAGAGCGTTTTATACTCTGAAAAATATGGTAAATTGCAAAACTTTATACAGCAGAAAATAAACGTAAGTATTTAATGTCAGCACAATATACATAAACTATTTTAAAGGTTCACTCATGAGAATGTCTGCCAATTCTTTCATAAGTAACAGTGATATTTTCAAAACGTATTCCTCAATGATAACATTTAGTGAACATCTAGAACCATATACACACCACACACCAAACACTATTTGTAAAACTGGTCAACATACAAATTGTCCTCACTGGCTGCAATCAGGACCAGCAACCTCATTGCTAAGAAAGGCTATCGTAAAGTAAAACATCATATGGCATCAGTTCCAGATGTAGTTAAGAATGTATCACCATAGTCATTAAGTGTGACATCACATAACCATGGCTTCCAAGTTCCTGGTGGCTTCCCCACTGACTTTGCTTCTTGGAAACCAGCTATGAAGGTCTCCAAACGGCAATCACGTGATTGAGGGATGCTGTAATCCAGGGTGTCAAACTCGTGTCATTACGGCATCGTCATGTGACGTATCGCAACTTTTTTTTTCCTTCGCTAAACCGATCATGGGTGTGGCCAGAGTGTGACGCATCCAGCTTGCGGGCCGCAAGTTTGACAGCCCTGCTGTAACCATTGTAAAAATATGCTGGTTGCCACATGCTTAAACTGTCATCCTGTGATCTCAGAGACATTGTGACAGCTGCAAGTTCAAGGACCGGTCCTTTTCCCAGCGCTATTGAAACAGTTGCTGAATGATCAGTAAGCAAAACTACCTATATATTCCAAAGAGTGCAGAAAGGTACGCTAATGTAAATATCAGTAGTCATAATTTATTTAATGTTTGAACAATCACTTTACAAGTGAGGAAAATTGCTTAAAATTAAAATTAAGGTGGGGATTAATTTCATTTTAGCCACTCTCCTAATTAGCCCTAATTGTAGCTATTCCAGAGCAGAGACAATTTAGATGTTGAATGAGGCACCTGCTTCAATTTACGCTTGTTTAAGCCAAGTCCAAACTTTCATTCTTGACACAGAAAACGCTGAACATATATTGCCTAAAATCTCTCTTAAAGATTTGAATAATACCGTGATCTTCAGGAGAAATGCTGCTAACATTTTGAATGCTCTATCTGCGTGTCAACTTTGGTAATATGTATAGATTTCCAACTGCCAGAATTCTCCCAGCATGCTAGTATTTGAAGTCTACCAATCTTAAAAGTTGCTAAGATTGAAAAATACTGCTCTATCCTACCCCATGCCATCACTACCTATTTTAAGGTGTTAAATATGTAACATCTTCAATTTGTTCTGCTGTTATTTTCATTTTATGGGATCAAAAGCTGAACAAGGTCAGCCGCGTGGTTATTACAAGCAGTCTGAGATCCTCACTTTACCTCTTGTGGATTTCCAAGCGCCTCCCCCAACATTTTCTCTATGTTCCTCATTACAGCCACTTTCTGATGAGCCTTTAGAGGGTATTCAATCCTTTTGGGGGTCGGAGCACCCTGCGTGGGGAAAAATACCTTCCTTAAACAAGAGCTCAAGTTGCAACATTTACAAAAATGAAATTGAAAACAGATTCTGACGGAGGCATCAATTATCTGGACCCTATTATTCTTATCCCTCATTCTGGGGCACCAGGAAGATCGAAAGGAAACTGAAAAGATCCGACAGGTTTACAGTGATTCATAGTGCTTAAAAATCTCACATACACCTACCGTGTTTCCCCAAAAATAAGACCGTGTCTTATATTTTTTTGAACCCTGAAATAAGCGCTTGGCCTTATTGCCATGTGCTCAAAAGCTCGATTGGGCTTATTATCAGGGGATGTCTTATTTTGGGGGAAACAGGGTAGCACTAAAAAAAGCAAGAAGCTAATAAAAGTCAGAGATGAGAAAAGGTGAGTTGGTATTTTCTTATCTATCAAGTAGCATGCATCATATGAAAAGGAGATGTTTAGGCAAGTGACTGGCCAAAACTACTATTTCTACTACTACCACTCATTTGTTAAAAAACAAATAGGAATAGGAATTAACTATTTCAACTTAAATATTACAAGGCTCAACAAGGTTATCTGGAAGATAATACTTAAGAAACCAAGTTGAGAATTCAAGTCAATTTTAGCAGCTGACACAATTTTGATCATTTAAATAAACCTAGGAAAATAATATAGTTTTTTATGATACAGTAATCAGTACCATGTGAATGTTTAATTTTGCAATTAAAACAGAAGTCTATTTATAGTACTGCTATTGTATTAAATTCAGACATACTTACCTTGTACCAAAAGTTTACAGTGATGGTAATTCCTCCATTCAGCAATGACTCAATGTGATGCCACCTACAGCAAGCCACAGAAAATAACTCTTTTAATATTCCTAATTTAAAACTGTAAGATTTTAGCATTTCCGAGATTAGTTTTACAAAAAAAATACTAAACATGTGGTACAATAATTAGTGATTTGGTTCTTTCTTTTATTCCTCTTCATTTGGGGGGACGACTATAATTTATTATACTTTTTTCAGTTCTTAGTTATCCAATGAACAAACAACCACTTGTATGCATATATTCATTAGAAAATATTCAGATAGTCCTCCTCCTTAGTGATCATTCTATGACCGTTCGAAATTACAATGGCTTTGGAAACAGTGACTTACAACCCATCCTCAAAAATATGGCCCCTCTAGTGTCACGACTGCAATCTGAGTGCTGAGCAACCAGCTTGCTTTTGCAGTGAAGGCAGCATCTTGCCAGCCAGCTTTCAAAAAGCAAAGTCAGTGGCGGAAGCTGAATTTGCTTAACAACTTTGGAGATTCACTTAATGACCTCGGAGATCAGGGTGGATTTGATTTCAATCAAGTTGATTTAAATCACAATTTAAATCATGACTTAAATCACTAGTAAAAAAGCTCAACTCGATTGAAATCATAATTTTTAAAGAGCAGCTGTCATCTCTGTCCTGCAGCGGCTCCTCCTCTGACCCGCTGTTGACTCACCAACAGTCCCATTCACTTTAATGGGACAGTTGGTGATGCAGCAGTCACACAAGGTGAGGGACCCGGCGGGCAGCCGGTGAGTGGAGTTTTTTCTTAATTTTTTAATTTGCTAAGATATGGTTGAAGAACAACTGGGAGACTAGAAAATTTATGAACAAAGAGTGAGGAATCAGAAATGCTTAATCTTGAAGAAGAGACAAGTGAAGTACAGTAGTGGCCAAAATTGTAGAAACCTTTTGGGAAAACTGTATTTTCTAAAACTAGATAATAACACCACTTTTGTTTTGGAGTCGTACCATAAAATTATATATCAATGGAAAGATAATTTAATCAAGCATGTAATGCAATAACTTTTATGAAGGATTTGCTACTAGAATAGCAGTTACAGTATAAAGAAGAAAAGTGAAACATGTAGAAAAAAGAAGATATACAAAAATTATCACATCAGTTAATACTTAGTTGGGTAACCTTTAGCAGGAATTACGGCCTTACAACATCTTCCCATGGAGTGAACCAAGTCTTTTAGTTCTGCAGCTGTTATAATATGAAAGCAAGATTGAATGATGGTTTCTATGAACTGGGTTTTATTGCTGGGTCGCTTCTGACTAACAAGTTTCTGTAGTCAGCTCCATAGATTTTCAATAGGGTTAAGGTCTGGGCTATTTCCAGGCCATTCCAGCAGTGGAATAGGATTATCTTGAAACTCCAAAAAAAAAAGTGGTGTTATTAGCCATCAAAAATACACTTTTCCCAAAAGATTTCCACAATTCTGGCCACTACTGTATAAGGATGTATACCAAATGTAAATCTTATAATGGAAAAAGGGACCAATATTTCTGCATATGAACAAGTATCAAGGATTATTGCTATTGGGACCCTTTAGAAACAGAGAAATATATATCTATCATAGTCAGAATAAAAGGCACAAGGTTCAGGGCCTCTGACAGAACCCCCTTTGTTCCCCAAATCGATTCTGCTGCAGAATCATACTAGCTCATTCTGTCCCATTCTCATCCTAAATGTATTACCAATACATGGGAATATAAAGCACATCGCCTGGGCCAACTACGGTTTCATAGCCAACTATGTTCTGGAAATTAGGAAACTTCTCATAGTCAGGATTGTCGAAGTCAACCTAGCAGGAGAGAAGAAGGCATCACTAAAGTCACTGGAGACAATACATGATTTTTCCCTCTGCTTCCCACCCCGGCTACTTCAAAGAAAATGAACTTCTTTACTAACTTTAACAAACAGGCCGAGAACTAGAGATAAAAATCAACACCTTCAAGACACTGCACTCCACTTCCCACTGGTTACTGGTTTTGTCGATTGTGAACAACTATACTCAGCATTTGTGTTTACTATTTTAAGATGTCACCAACCAAAGAAAAGCACAGAACACATATAATAAAATACCAGGTATTTATATGGCACTGATTGCGAGGATTCTGCTATACCGATAAAAAATCAAGATTAAATCTGGTCTTATTTAAGTGATCTAATAACCAAGTAAATCGTTCTTGAGATGTCTGAAATAAATGCAAACATTAAGCTCATGACAGTAGCCTGGAAAGACTATAAATCAGCACCGCTGACAGCTAATATAATTTTCCTAGTAAGGTGTAAATCTGCTGGAGCTTTTTAAACTCCGCAGATTGGGGACCAATTTAGAAAGACCAACAAGAGGGATATAATGAACTGCAGAGCTAACTGGAGATTAACAATGATCTCACCAGCAGATTGTTGAAATGGAAGAGATGATCTACTTAGTTGCCCTCAAATATCCTCTCCTTTATTGCAGGGTACCCTGATTACTGAGGAACCAGGATGCTGAAACAAGCATGAGAATATCAAAGCACAGCATCCACATCCATTGCATAGACTTTCTGAATGGTTGATGGAATCCTTAGATGCAAACCTGGCATGTCAAATCTCACTTGGCACTTCAAAGAGCAGCCTGTTAACATTCTCATTATTACAGTTCCAATAAGAGAGATGGAAACATTGGGGCATGCTTGGCATCTCCCCTAATTTTATTAATTCATCTCTATGTGCAATTTCAAGGGACCAAGACTATGGACCAATTTTATGGAAGCTGCAGCTACTTTTATCAGTGTTTTACTCTTGCCTAACTTTGACTTCAATGAATACCAGCAGGTGACTACTAGGTGAATCTAAATAAAGATGGCCAACTCTTCTACAAAAGGAATTTTGTTGTTGTTGTTGTTGTTGTTAGTTGCACATTGTGTCCGGCCCATCGCAACCCCATGGATAAAGTTCCTCCAGGCCTTCCTGTCCACTACCATCCTCTGGAGTCCATTTAAGCACACGCCGACTGCTTCAGTGACTCCATCCTTAGTGTTGTGGACCAGTCATCTTCTTTCAGAGTTAATTCATTTACTTTTAAGCCATTAAAAGTATACAGTTAAGACTAGGTCACATGGGAAACTGTTGTTTGTTGTTGCTGTTATTATTGTAGCCTCTTCAGCAGTGGTGAAATCCAATTTTTTTTACTACCGGTTCTGTGGGCGTGGCTTGGTGGATGTGGCAGAGGAAGGATACTGCAAAATCTCCATTCCAGTGGTGAAATCTAAAATTTGTTACTACCGGTTCTATGGGCGTGGCTTGAGGGGGTAATGTGACCGGGTGGGCGTGGCCATTTTTTTTTTTTACTTTTAAAACCATTTTTTCTACAACCTCTTGTGCGAAGAGATTTTTAAAAAAACGCTTTCAAAAGGCTCTGACGATCCCAGCTGAGCCGCGTGATCATCAGAGGCTTTTTTTTTTACTTTTAAAAGCATTTTTTCAGCCGAAGAGGTTGTAGAAAAAATGCTTTTAAAAGTAAAAAAAAAAGTCTCTGATGATTGTGCGGCTCAGCTGGGCATAGGGGGAGGGGCAGGGATTTTTGCTACCGGTTCTCCAAACCATCCGCCTCCATCGCTACCAGATCAGGCGATCCGGTCCAAATCGGGAGCATTTCACCCCTGCTCCATTCCCACCCCACTCCAAGGGCCAGCCAGAGGTGGCATTTGCCGATTCTCCAAACTACTCAAAATTTCCGCTATCGGTTTTCCGAACTGCTCAAAATTTCCGCTACTGGTTCTCCAGAACCTGTCAGAATCTGCTGGATTTCACCCCTGCTCTTCAGCTGCTGGGAAGGAAACTGGGGCATTGTCAGTTCCTAATCCTCCAACAGGCAACTTTACAAAGAAATCTCTGTTAGAAGGGTCCAATACAGCGCATGAGGGGGATTTATCCAGCCTCATTCTTTCTATAGTACCCTCTTGTGACTCTGGAGGAGGAATCTACAGACAATTGAAACAGAAATGCAAAACCTAAAGAGAACTCTTTTTGAAGTTATCTACAGAGCTGTCTCACAAGATAATTAAAGAAGTGCTAATCTCTACTAAACACTTTAGATTGCCCTTTTATTTTATCACCAAACAGCCCTCGCGGTTGCATGAGGCTAACACTTCCCGGCCTACCTCCATAAAGATTTGATTGACTGCTTTAGTTGTCTGAATAAGGATATTCTTACAATACATTGACTTTCTATGATCGAGTTAAGTGTATCCTATGATCATTTGAAGACCATATATATCTGAGAACTTTAAAAGAGACATCATGGTTTAGACTCCTCCTCAGACAGATGGTTAGAGGAAAACAAAGGTATATAGGGATTTTGTAATAAACCAGCATTAAAAGTTATGCTTTGTAGTCTTAGGCAAAAAAAAAATTAATTGCTATTTGGCCTAGTTGTCGTCTCACCTGGCTTTGCCGGTCACATGGATGGTGCACGGGATAAGGATAAAGGCATTCAAACTGGTCTGGTGAAAATAGAATACATCGTTTGTATCCTTTAATCTGAGCGAAGAAATTCTGCTGTTCATCGTAGTGAGCTGGTGTCACGTTTCCTGCATAAAGAAAGACCCAAGATAAATTTCTGAAATGATTTTACAAAATGGTGAACTTTTAATTCCCAACAGATCTGTACTACAAATTATTGGGAATGGGTGCACAAATTTCATCCCACAATTGTGAATGCTACCAAAATGATGCCACACATATACAGGTAGCCTCCATTGTGTACGAAGACTGTGCGATGGAGCAGCTGCTTCCCAAAGATCTACCAAAAAGGTAAGTGACCAATCTATGATTGGGGGAGGGGAGGGGCAGGACCCAGTCGAGTGGAAAGCTGCCCCAAGACCTGCAGGGACCCAGTAGAATAGGATGGAGAGACTGCAATGGCCATAACTTCAGGCAGGGGGTCATAAGTCCCTTTGTTCAGAGCCATAATTCTGAATGGTCGCTGAATGAATGTCCATGAGTCAAGATCTAACTGTAAATTCAAGCAGCCTGGGATCATATCTGATTAAAAAGTAACGGTAAAGGTTCCCTCGCACATATGTGCTAATCGTTCCTGACTCTAGGGAGCGCTGCTCATCTCCGTTTCAAAGCGGAAGAGCCAACGCTGTCCGAAGACATCACCGTGGTCATGTGGCAGGCATGACTAAATGCCAAAGGCGCACGGAACGCTGTTACCTTCCCACCAAAGGTGGTCCCTATTTTTCTACTTGCATTTTTTTTAAGTGCTTTCGAATTGCTAGGTTGGCAGAAGCTGGGAGAAGTAACGGGAGCTCAACCGCTGAACTGATGACCTTTCAATCGACAAGCTCAGCATCTTAGCCACTGAAATATATTGCATATCTGATTATCACATATTTTTTAACGAAATTTGGCTCTTGTTTGTCAGTTCCCAGCTTAACTGCAGCAATCAAATCTCCGGGCTCCCCCTCATAGTTTAACTGGAACATGTTGAGGATATTGTATTAGATAACATTGTAACTGAGAAGAAAGCACTCCACCTAAATTCAGTTACCTAACACTGACATATTGTCCATAGGAATTCCACAACAGGTAGCACTAAATGACTATTAAAACCAAATTATTTGTCCAGAGGCAGATTGGTTACCTTCCATGCCAATCAGTAGTAAGTTGGATGTCAGCTGACCCCAGCCTCGCTTCGTCTGCTGTCTGTTAATCCAATTCCAATTAAAGCCCAGGAAATCTACCACAATTTTCCTGCCAACCGTGTCATTTAAGGTCTGCTGGAGATATAACCTGTATATACCAGAAAATAATGGGGAAAAAGAAATGCAAATGTGTGTGCAAAGCTATATCCCATTACCTCTTTCATTATCTGTCAATCAACTGTATATAGTTCTTATAGAAATGATTACAAAACCTAGCTTACAGAGCTGGGGGGGAAAATTGTCCAGAGCATTAAATTACCAAAAATGACTAGTCGTCCATAAAAAAAAAGAATAAAATCTTATGTTCCTGGGGTCCTGTATAAATTATGGTGATCAGAATTCTGGATAATTCAACATAGTAATTCTTTTGGACTTCTGAACTTTCAATATCACTAAGCTATATACTGGGCAAAGCAGTGACAGGAGACAATACCACTTTTACTTGCCCACCTCGCAACTGAAAAAATTGCTCTGATTTTTTTTTAAAAAAAAACTAAATAATGTTTACCTTCAGCAGCAGGAAAGCAACAGAGTTCTGGGCCTACACAGCAGTGTCACTGCCTCCTCCTCTGCCACCACATGAGTGCAGAATATTCCTCAGAAAGGAAAGAGAGAGGACAGGAAGGAAGAGCATACAGCCAGAGGTCTGCTGCCTTCCAATCTGTCAAAACTGAAACATAAGAAAGGAAACAAGTTTGCTTTTAACTGCTGGGTAATTTTGCGGGATTTGGAATGGCAGTGCAGAAAACATCTGACAGATTTAAAAAAAAAAAAAAAGCAATAGAAAATCTATCTGCACCTAGAATAACACAGGATCGAAAAGCAACTACCAGAATAGTAAACAACACTGGGAAAACAGAGTATGATTATTAGAAGGATGCATTTATGTAAGTATACATTTCACTGTGCTCATACAACACAATTAGGTGCATCAAACCTGATAGGTGTTTATTTGTGTTAGAACTGGGAGGAAAAGGTTTGTGTGTGTGTGTGCACGGATGATGACTTAGCATGTTGGGTGAACTTATATTATATGGTCTACACCAGGGTCGGTTGCTACCGGTTTGCCCCGGTTCAGGAGAACCGGTAGCGGCGGCAGCAGGCTTCGCCCACCCACCCAGACGTCATCAAAAACGCTCTGGGCATGCGCAGAACCTTATTTATTTATTTGTTGAATTTGTATACCGCCCTTCTCCCCCTAGGGACTCAGGGCGGTGAACAGCCGAAATTAAAATACATACAATATAAAAGTTAAGATAGCTAAAATAAATTAAATCAATCGGCCCCCAATTTAAAAGCCCAAAGCTATACAATTAAAAACTAACCCATAAAAAACCTAGTTAGGCTAGGCCGGCTTGCTGAAATAGAAACATCTTCAGGGCCTTACGGAAAGTGCGGAGATCCGGGATCAGTCGTATTCCGGGAGGAAGCTCATTCCAGAGGGCGGGTGCCCCCACAGAGAAGGCTCTCCCCCTGGGGGCCGCCAGCCGACATTGCTTGACCGATGGCACCCTGAGGAGGCCCTCTCTGTGAGAGCGTATTCGCCAGTGGGAGGTTATCGGTAGCAGAAAGCGGTCTCGTAAATACCCTGGCCCTAAGCCATGGAGCGCTTTAAAGGTGAGAACCAACACCTTGAAGCGCACCCGGAAGACCACCGGGAGCCAATGCAGCTCGCGCAGGAGGGGTGTTATATGGGAGCACCATGTCGCTCCCATAATCACCCGCGCGGCCGCATTCTGGACCAGTTGGAATGTTATGCGCATGTGCAGAAGCGCCACGCGCTCACAAAGCAAGCATGCACACCCGCGCACTCCCAATAGTGAACTGGTAGCGCCGGGATTTGAATCCCACTATTGGTCTACACTACATCAGATTGTTGTATAAACACACCACTGTCCTTTTTTGGAAAAACATTCACGAGAGGGTAAAACCATCTAGGGGCCACATTACAGTTACTTATATCTGTTATTAAATATAATGAGAGAAAATTCTATAAAATACTACTTAGAAGTATGCCTATAGACATAACATCCAGGAAGTAAACAAACTACTCCAATTCCACCCACTGCGTGTAGATTAACTTTCTTTTAGGATAGGCAGATTACAATGCAGAAAGTGGCAAAAATAGCCATGCATCACAAAGCACAGATATGAAAGAAAAATATGATGCATACTCTGATGCTATGAATTATACGATTTTTTTTCTCTGTTAAACAAGCTCTTTTTTCAATGAAATAAGCTGTAAGTAGCACAAAATATTCCTTCTCAATGTATATGGTGTATACTGTATATACACTATATATTCTCACATAAATGGTGAGGAGATGGAGAGGGTTGATAGTTTTAAATTTCTGGGCATTTATATCTCAAAGGACCTCTCATGGACTATGAATGTTAACATGCTTTTGTGAAGAAGGCACAGAAGAGGCTGTACTTCCTAAGAATGCTCAGGAAGATAAATCTATCTCAGCATCTACTTCTGTCCTACTATCGCAGCACCATTGAGAGTGTCCTGACATACGACATTCTTGCATGGTATGGGAGCAGCTCTGTAGCAGACAAAGAAGCTCTACAGAGAATCATTAAAACTGCCCAGAATATCATCGGACTCCAGCCCTGGACGATATCTTCGAATCTCACTGTTTGAGAAAGTTGCATAACATTCTCAGAGACTCTTCTCATCCTGCTTACAATCTTTTTGAACCGTTGCCTTCTGGCAGAAGATACAGAACAATTAAAACTCGGACCACACGTTTTCTGAATAGTTTTTATCTCAGAGCTATAATTGCACTCAATAATGAACTAAAGGGCCACCATCAGTGAGCTGTTGGACAGCATTACTTGGTCTGTTGTGTGGATGTTTGGGTGGTTTAGGGCAGGGAATTTGTGGTGGGTGGGTGGGTGTTTGGGGATTGTTACATGTGTTGGACCTGGTCTTTGGGTGTTAAGTGAATTTCATTGTATAGGTATACTGTGTATACATGTACAATGACAATAAAGTTATTATTATTATATAAACTATTGCCCTCAATGAAACAAATGTTCTTTATGAACTGCTCCAGAGTCAAGGTTTATTTTGTGAAGGACTTCCTCAAAAATTATATTTAATATTTCAAAATTGTTCCCTTCTCCGATATTTCAGTTGTGCCTGAAAAATACTACCATGTTTACCTCCTTTATCTCATTAGATCTATATAACAGCCTTTTATTTCAAATTCCAAGCCAAGCCCATTTTCTTTATTAAGAGATTTGGGAACTTCTGCTTGCTTGACTCCCCAATGAATCAAGTACGGGCCCATGTTACTTCTTCAATTTCCAAAAGGTTCCAAACGCATAACACGGAGCTTAAGGTCCTTCTGCATGAGAACAAGGCCCTTTCCACCCTGGAGGACTCAAAGGAGCTATTGCACTGTGCCATGCAGGAACCTAGCAGATCAGTTATAACCAGAAGCAAATCCCACCGTAGCGCCTTAATTCCTCTGACTATAAAGTGACCACCAGGTGTTGCGATTACCTTTCTCCGCTTCCCTGCTGCTCAGTTTCCTGGAGTTGTGCCATGAAATCCCTGAACTTCATTTCCTCTCTGCTGGACTTCGGTTTGAAGTTTTTCACGTTTGCCATCTTCTTCTCATCGTAGTAGAGAAATTTGTGGGTGCTGGCTCGGTATACCGAGAAGTCTCCACTCCCAATATTCTCATGAAGGTAATCCAGGTCCCACTTCAAGGCGGGATAAACCAGATTGGTGTCGGTGAGCACCACCGGCTCCTGGAAGCAAACACAGAGCAGAGGTCACGGATGGACAGAAAGGAAGGAAAGGAAGGGAAAGAAGGGAAAGAAGGGAAGGAAAAAAAGAAGAAAGGGAAGGGAGGGAGGGAGAGAGAGAGGGAAGAAAGGGAAGGAAGAAAAGGGAAGGAAGGAAGGAAGGAAAGAAAGGAAGGAAGGGGAGGAAGGGAGGGAGGGAAAGAAGGGAAGGAAGAAAAGAAAGGGAAGGAAGGAAGGAAGAAAAGAAGAAAGGAAGGAAAGGGAGGGAAAGAAGAAAGGGAAGGACGGAAGAAAAGAAGGGAAGGGGGGGAAAGAAAGGAAGAAAAGAAGAAAAGGAAGGGAGGGAGGGAGGTAAAGAAGGGAAGGAAGAAAAGGGAAGGGAGGGAGGGAGGGAGGGAGGGAGGAAGGAAAGGGAGGGAGGGAAAGAAGGGAAGAATGGAAGGAAGAAAAGAAAGGGAAGGAAGAAAGGAAGAAAAGAAGGAACGAAGGAAGGAAGGAAGGGAAGGGAGGGAGGGAGGGAGAGAGGGAAAGAAGGGAAGGAAGGGAAGGAAGAAAAGGGAAGGAAGAAAAGAAGAGAAGGAAGGAAGGAAGGAAGGAAGGAAAGGGAGGGAGGGAGGGAGGGAAAGAAGAAAAGAAAGGGAAGGAAGGAAGAAAGGAAGGAAGGAAAGGAAGGAAGGGAGGGGGGAAAGAAGGGAAGGGAAGAAGAGAAGAAAGGGAAGGAATTAAAGAAAGGGAAGGGAAGGGAAGGGGAAGAGGCCGCCGAAGCGACCCTCTCCTCCCCCTTCCCACTCCCTCAGCCCAGGGCCAGGGGAGGCGGCTGAAGCGTCCTGCCGTCACCTCGTTCTCCAGCAGTTCCTCCGCGCGGGGGTCTCCGTGGCGCAGGCGGGCGATGGGCCTCGTGGCGAAGCTGTAGTGCCGGAACTGCGCCTCACTCCACCCGCGCACCTCCTCCGTCTCGGCCGCCTTCGGGGGAGAGGAGGAAGCCTCCGCGGCTTCGGGCCGAGACCCGGAGGCCGCCTCCTCCTCCTCCTCCATGGCTACCGGATGCAGCGCCGCCTCCGACCCCGCAGCGCACGGAACCCGGCGGGACACGCATCCGGTGCAGGCTGGGCGGACCGGAACCTGCCGCTCTAGGAATCGGGACCCGATGGTGTTTCAGCACCCCCTGGCGAGGCATTCTAGGAGCTTTGAGTTGCCTGGGCATTCCGGTGCTTTCAGGGGCGGCTGCTTGGAAAAAGACCTTTCCGAGTGGATGTACGCTGCCAGGAGCGCTGCTGGCCCTGGGGAGTCAGCGGCCAATCCCGGAATGTTAAACCTAAAATGAAGGAAGGAAGGAAGGAAGGAAGGAAGGAAGGAAAGGGAGGGAGGGAGGGAGAGAGGGAAAGAAGGGAAGGAAGGGAAGGAAGAAAAGGGAAGGAAGAAAAGAAGAGAAGGAAGGAAGGAAGGAAGGAAGGAAAGGGAGGGAGGGAGGGAGGGAAAGAAGAAAAGAAAGGGAAGGAAGGAAGAAAGGAAGGAAGGAAAGGAAGGAAGGGAGGGAAAGAAAAAGGAAGAAGAAAAAAAGGGAAGGAAAGAAGAGAAGAAAGGGAAGGAATTAAAGAAAGGGAAGGGAAGGGAAGGGGAAGAGGCCGCTGAAGCGACCCTCTCCTCCCCCTTCCCACCCCCTCAGCCCAGGGCCAGGGGAGGCGGCTGAAGCGTCCTGCCGTCACCTCGTTCTCCAGCAGTTCCTCCGCGCGGGGGTCTCCGTGGCGCAGGCGGGCGATGGGCCTCGTGGCGAAGCTGTAGTGCCGGAACTGCGCCTCACTCCACCCGCGCAGCTCCTCCGTCTCGGCCGCCTTCGGGGGAGAGGAGGAAGCCTCCGCGGCTTCGGGCCGAGACCCGGAGGCCGCCTCCTCCTCCTCCTCCTCCATGGCTACCGGATGCAGCGCCGCCTCCGACCCCGCAGCGCACGGAACCCGGCGGGACACGCATCCGGTGCAGGCTGGGCGGACCGGAACCTGCCGCTCTAGGAATCGGGACCCGATGGTGTTTCAGCACCCCCTGGCGAGGCATTCTAGGAGCTTTGAGTTGCCTGGGCATTCCGGTGCTTTCAGGGGCGGCTGCTTGGAAAAAGACCTTTCCGAGTGGATATACGCTGCCAGGAGCGCTGCTGGCCCTGGGGAGTCAGCGGCCAATCCCGGAATGTTAAACCTAAAATGAAGGAAGGAAGGAAGGAAGGAAGGAAGGAAGGAAGGAGACAGAGAGAGAGAAGGAAAGGAAGGAAGGAAGGAAGAAAGGAAGGAAGGAAGGAAGAGAAAGAAAGAAAGAGAAAGAAAGAAAGAAAAGAAAGAAAGAAAGAAGAAAGAAAGAAAGAAAGAAAGAAAGAAAGAAAGAAAGAAAGAAAGATCAACCTCTTTCTTCAGAAATCTGTCCAGGAACCCCAAGATTTTCCTGCCGTTGTGATCTTTCTTTAAAATTTTTAAAAATGCATGCCATTATTATTATTACTATTATTATAAACTTTTATTCACCAAACATGAAACTCAAGTCAACTGAACATTCAAAAATGCATCACAAATACCAGTGACTGGTGCTAAAGGTTGATACGGGTTGCTGCCAGCGTCCTAGGTATCAACCAAGTACCTTCTTAAGATGTACGATTATTATATACTTTATTCATTAAACATGAAACTCAGTCAACTGAACATTCAAAAATGCATCAAATATAACTATTATTATTATTACTATTGCTTACTTTATTCATTAAACATGAAACTCAGTCAACTGAACATTCAAAAATGCATCACAAATACCATTAACTGGTGCTAATGGTTGATATGGGTTGCTGCCAGCGTCCTAGGTATCAACCAAGTACCTTCTTAAGATGTACAATGTTCGAAGTAGCGCAGTTTTTTGCAGTTCCACTGGTGTTTTTGCAGGAAGCTGCAATTTGCTGATGTATCTTATATGGTACCAAGTGCGCCGATGACAATGGGTATCACTGTTACATGTTTCATCCATAGCCATGTAGTTTCGATGGCCAGGTCGCGAAATTTCATGATTTTTTCCAGTTCTTTTTCTTCGACTCTGGCATTTCCTGGTACTGCAATGTCAATAAATTGTACATTTCGGTTTTCAACAACTGTGATATCTGGCGTGTTGTGTTCCAAGTGATGATCCATCTGTATTCGAAAGTCCCACAAGATCTTTACCTTCTCGTTTTCTATAACTGTATAAATGTATAAACTACATTAACAGAGGGATACAATCAAAATCAAGTGAGGGACTAATACCTCTCTATAAAGCCTTAGTAAGACCACACCTAGAGTACTGCATGCAGTTTTGGTCACCACACTATTAAAAAGATGTTGAGACTCTAGAAAGAGTGCAGAGAAGAGCAACCAAGATGATTAGGGGACTGGAAGCTAAAACATACAATGAACGATTGCAGGAATTGGGCATGGCTAGTCTAGTGAAGAGAAGGACCAGGGGAGACATGATAGCAGTTGTGGGAGCTTCATCACTGGAAGCTTTCAAGAAGAGACTGGACTGCCATCTGTCAAAATGATGTAGGGTCTGTTTGGGTGGGTGAGGTTGGACTAGATGACCTACAAGGTCCCTTCCAACTCTGTTAATCTGTATAAAGTCTGTATAAAAAGTCCATCTATACTAAGAATCTTCCAGGTATCTTTCAGGTATCAGTTACAAAAGCATTTGACAATTGCTTTCTGGAAACAGAACCTACTTCAGTTTTGGAAATAGACATAAGAGTCAGGGCTGGTCCACGTCAAATGGATTCAGCAACTCAATAAGCAAATTTTGCATTGCAAAACTTTATTAAAGAAAGGTCTGGGAAACTGATTAGGTATTTCCCCACATGCAAATGCAAATGTATATAACCTCCCAGGGACCAATATCCGTGGCAGATTTCCACAAAAAGGGAGGTGAAAGAGGCCTTCCTTGAAGTCAAAGTCTCTTCTTTGAGGAAGGTCTGACTAGGGAATCCATGGAGCTGAACTCTACACTTCTTCAAACTGCCAAAGTTGAGAATCACTGAATTAGATTATACAGACTCCTTTTCACAGTGGTCTTGTCTGGACATGGGATCATTCTAATCTAGTGGATGAACTTTGCCAAGATCTATATGGAGATAATTCCCCACTCCTGGTCTTAATAGCTCTGCCAGCTGCTTTCAACACCCCGGACTGTTACTACTTTTCGTATATTTATTGTTTGTCTTTATCAAGTTGCGAGCAGACGTGTCGATTACAGTGCCCCCACAAACACTGGGTGAGAGATACGTAGTTGAATACATAAAATAAATGTCCCGTGCTCGCTGGGGTCTCCAGGTGGCTACAGTGGAATGAAGAGGGAGAGGAGAGACATCAATCCGTGGCCGAAGAAGAGGATTCACTGATTTAAAAATGTGTCTTACGGGAAGAAGAAAACCAAGATACATAATTTGGGAGGGAGGAAATGGTAATAATCATGCTAAAAACTGCTTTAAGGAAATCAGAAGTCACTTCTTTAGATATTTTCTTTTTTCTTTGTTTCTGTTTCTCACTTTATATTATATACTTTATATTATATGTTTAATATAATTTAACAAAGTTGGAAGGGACCTTGGAGGACTTCTAGTCCAACCCCCTGCTTAGACAGGAAACCCTACACTTCAGACATAGATAGATAGATAGATAGATAGATAGATAGATAGATAGATAGATAGATAGATAGATAGATAGATAGATAGATAGATAGATATGTATGTTCTACTTTTTTAAGTTTCTGTGAGAGATGCCTAAATTGAATACATAAAAAAAATGTCCGGGGCTCGCTGGGATCTCTAGGTCAGGGCCAGGGTCTCCAACCTTGGCAACTTTACGACTTGTGGACTTCAACTCCCAGAATTCCCCAGCCTTGCTGGCGCCCCCTCGCGGGGCAAGCTGCTTCCGGGTCGGGCCTTGTGAAGACAGCGGCTCTCTTTCAGGAAAACTCTATGGCCGGCCGGAAGTCCTCCACCTTTCAGCTTCGACCTGGCGGCCGCCCTTGAAAGAGAAGCGATGGCAGTCGCCGTTAATGGGGTCCGCCTCCGAGCCCTCCTACGCCAGCTCGCCTGGCCGTTGACACCGGGAAATGGCAGCCGCCGCCTCGGTCCGTGAGTACCTCGGGCGGTGAAGGGAGGCGGCCTTGCAGCTCGGGCTCTGAGCGGGACAGACGAAGTGGGGGCGGGGGGGCTTGCGGAGGTCGGCTGTCCCCTGGAGCAGAGGCTCCAACCTTGGCCACTTGAAGACTTGTGGACTTCAAGTCCCAGAATTCCTCAGGGACTTCAGCTCCCAGAATTCCTCAGGGATTTCAACTCCACAAAGAATTCCTCAGGGACTTCAAGTCCCAGAATTCCTCAGGGACTCCCAGAATTCCTCAGGGACTTCAAGTCCTAGAATTCCTCAGGGAGTCCCAGAATTCCTCAGGGACTTCAGCTCCCAGAATTCCTTAGGACTTCAGCTCCCAGAATTCCTCAGCCAGCAAAGCAAAGCTGGCTGAGGAATTCTGGGAGTTTAAATCTACAAGTCTTAAAGTGGCCAAGGTTGGAGACCCCTGCCCTGGAGGGCTCCGGCTCTCTGGGGTGGGCAGCCCGCCTTGTGGGGGGCTCCATCTGCTTCCAAAGCGTGTCTTTGTGAGGGAGGCATTAGGCTGCTCCTTTGCCCCACAGCAGAAGCGTCCAACTCTGTTCGTTCTCCGGACTGGACCGGTTAATATGGAAGGGAAAAAAAGCCATTTTGAAGAACTGTTGAAAAGTGTAGCTGTGGCCCTTTTGAGCAGCCCTCTTCCTATGGTGCACAGCCCATCAGCGGTTTTCCCGCGTCTCTTTCTTGCCCTCCTGTTGAGTTTGTGCGGGGAGGCCTTCCCAAAAAGTCCTCAGCCGGGGATGGGTGAGGCATCTGGGTTTCTGAGCAGGGTGGATAAAAATAGATTTTTTTTTAAATCCAAAAAAATATTATTATTATTTTAAATTTAAATTGGATTTTTTTTATTTAAATCAGATTTTTTTTTATTTTTATCAAATTTATTTTAATAAAATGCTTTTGGAGTAAAAAAAATCTACCTAAAGATATTTTTCTATTTAAGATAGATTCATAATGTAGTTTATTCAGCATGAAATGGAGCTTAGTTATATAGTATGAGTTATGTACATTCTGCAATATTTACATTTTTTCATAAACTCATTCAACAAATCCAAGCTCTGCAAGCTGAGAAAACATGCAACTGCACTGATGCATTCACTCAATTTCACAGCAACTGTGAGATAAATCACAAAGTTCAGGAATATTGCTTCATCCCATTGTTTTGCAAATCAGTGTCCACTGCCAACTGTATGATTGTTTGAAGAAAAATGCATCTGTACCACCAAGCTGTAAGTGTGAGGAAGAAGGGCAAGCAGTAAAAAATGAAAGTGAAACCTTCTAAGCAGCTTATAAATATAATATTAAAGAGCACCTGTCATTTCAGATCCATCATAGCAGCACCTGTTAGTGGGCATCTACTCACCTGCTGCATGCCACGTCCCTCACCTTGTTGTGTCACTGCCGCATCACCATTCGTCCCATTAAAGTGAATGGGACTCTCGGTGAGTCAGAGGAGGAGCCGTTGCAGGACAGAGGTGACAGTTGCTCTTTCAAAATTATGATTTAAATCAAGTCGATTTAAATCAAGCCTTTTTACTAGTGATTTAAATCGTGATTTAAATTGACTTGATTTAAATCAAATCCACCCATTTCTGAGCCTTGGCAGAAAGGTGGGGCATCAGATTTTGTACCTGGCCAATATAGGAGGAATCAATCTTGAATGGCGTTGGCGTGTAATAGAAGTAGGGGTTGCTGTGATGCCCCAATATTGGCACAAAGCATGACTAGTTTAGCGGGAGTTGTGGGGTCAGGTAGCCAAAACAAAAGGGATTAGGACAATATACAAAAATACATGTAAATGAAGATTCAAACATCGAGGCCAAAAGTATTTAATGAACTTTGGTCCAGCTGCCATGATACAGAAACACCCACAATGGAAGACTGGATTGTGAAGATGCTAGAACTTGCTAAAATGGTTAAAATTGATTTAGGGAAGGAACAGTAACTACTTTGATAAAAGACTGAAGACATTTAATGGAAGTTTGTTTTTTTTATTGAAAATGGACACAAATGGGTTAGTGCTGTCAGGATTTACTGATTTAAAAATGTGGCTAATGGGAAGAAGAAAACCAAGATACATAATTTGGGAGGGAGGAAATGGTAATAATCATGCTAAAAACTGCTTTAAAGGAAATCAGAAGTCACTTCTTTAGATATTTTCTTTTTTCTTTGTTTCTGTTTCTCACTTTATAGTGTATACTTTATATATACTTTATATTATATATTTAATATATACATATATGTATTCTGTTTCTGTAGTTTCCATTATGTAAAATTCTATTTTCAGTACAATGATATTAAAAGTAACCTTGATCATTTTCATTGGTAGACTAATTTTAAATATCGCATCTGAATTTACTCTTAAGATGACATTAAGTAATGGATTCATGTATTCTATTAATACAAATTAAATAACATTATAGGTTTTTATTCCGTACTACCTTGTTTGTGTAGTAGTCAATAAAAATAAAGAGAGACACGTTGGTCTAGTGGTTAAGGCACCAGACTAAAAAGCTGGAGACTGTGAGTTCTAGTCCTGCCTTATCCATGAAAGTCAACTGGCTACTTTGGGCCAATCCCTCTCAGCCCAACTCTCCTCACAGGATGGTGGTTGTGGGGGAAATAGGAGAAGAAAGATGTGTTGGATGTACTCACCGCCTTGATTTATTTGTAAAACTCAGGAGATATATATATGTGTGTGTGTGTGTGTGTGTATGTATGTATATATATATACATATATACATATACACATTATACATATACATATACATATACATATACATATACATATACATATACATATATAATCCAGACTTTATCATCTGCACTGCACATTTTTTCTCTACGCTATCTTTGAGTTGTTGCTTTTTCTTTTAGCTTCGCATCTGCCCAAACATCTGCTTCCAGGGACATACCCCAAGACTCCAGAAGAGCAGGCAGCTGCTGCAAAGAAATACAACCTGACACTGGAGGACTATAAGACATATGCAGATGATGGTTTGGGGTAGGTTGTATTTGTATATCCAAGAAACCAAACATTGTACAAAGATAGGAACAAACGTCGTGCTATCAGGATTGTGGAACGTTTGTCTATATAAGCTTATCATAGCCTCATAATAAATGACTTTCATAGTTGGCATTCATTGGGAAATGAGTAAAATCTTTAAAAATATAAATCTAGATTAAAGGCAGATTTACATTTGGAAGGAATAGTGGAATCACATCTGCAGCATTACTTAAATCAGAAATATAAATGTGTACTTAGCAATTTGTGTATTATTTCCAATGGTACATATACCAAGTATACTGGTCTAAATCATGAAAGGTCCTGTTACCCTCACCAAGCATTTGTAACAACAGTGTGTTAATCAGTATGGCTTGCTTTAGAATTAAATTGTTAATCAGTTAATTAAATTAGTATGGCTTGCCTTAGAATTAAATTGGGGCCCATTCTAGCCCTGTGATTTCAAAAAACAAATGATAAATTTTCTTCTGTTTCATCAAGTGATAAATATCCTGTATTTCTTTGATGAACAATTATATTTCTTATAATGGTGGAACAAGACTATCATGTTAAATTTGCAACCAAAGGGGGAAAGGGTGAAAAAAATTCACTAGTTTGATAGTGGAGACATCCCTAGCAGGAATGCTTTTTTAAGATAAATGTATAAGATATTGAAATGTTGGTTGGTTATATTAATTACTTTCTCCTCAATTTTTGGGGATTGAATTCATCCAGCAGTTAATTCGTCTATAATAGGGATAGACAATATGTTTTGTGGTTCGATCCCCATACTTAAAAGTGCACAATTCAATCTGCAAGAGACAAAGGAACATGGTAGTGTGATACTCCTGTCACTGCAAAGTTTAGCCACCATTTTTAGCCCTCTTGTCCAGTTTTTAAGTTTGGCAGACAGATTATTATATTTTCTTGCTTTAAATCACTAGTAAATTGCATTGTTATTTTTTGATTTAAGCACTGAAGAGATTTAGGAACAACTTGGGTCCATAAAATGCTTGCTGGTGGTCGAAAGCTCTGTTCTCATATTTTCATAGTTATGGTGACTATCCCAGACTCCCAGATCAATCCGCACAAGAAAAAAATCCTTGGTATGAGTGGGATTACCCTGATTTGAGGCGTAATTTTGGAGAAGCGGTAAGCTGAAGAATTAATTTGTGGTCTACCTATTTTTCAATTCAGTTTGTAATCCAGAATCCCATATTAAAAGTAATTAGTAATGGAATATCTAACTGTAATAATATATTTGGTAAAAAGTTCAATCCTTCCTTAAATCCAATACTCAAGCATATTCTCTATCTCTGTTTCCCTAATATACTTTAGATCAGCATTGAAATCCCTATTTTGATTCTGGTATTGACATTATTTTGGTGTCCTGGAAAGGAATAAAATACTACTGTGTCCTTGTTAAACTTGACCAAAAGTTCTTACATTTTGCCTCAGAAGCAATATAAATAGTCAAGTGATGTCTTCAATATGCTATTCTAATAAACTTTGGAAAATTGAAGAGTCTTTAACAAATATTTTGTCAAACAACACTTCAGCTTACACCTAGTTCTTGAGTTACACCTGTAATGGAGCCTGCCTATGATGGTCATAAAGTTGATCAGTCATGTAATGGTTCACTTTTGGCAAAACCAGTGAATGCCAGTTTTCAGCAAAACTGTCATAAAACACGGCCATGGGATTGTGGGATGCTGCCATAAATTTGGCCTGATTGCCTAGCGCCTGAAGTGTGTTCACATGACTTGGGGGAGTGATTGTCGGAACTGTGAATCCAGGTTGTAAACATCTCCCAAGTTGGTCCGTTGGAACTTTGGCCATTAAGCAGCTGGTCGTAGGTCAAGGACTATGTGTACCTGTTTTATTCATTGAAGCCAACTTTAGGTTTTTGCTTAGTGACCAGAGTTTTCTTCAGAATTCAAGAGAGAAGTTTTATAAGTGAAATGGGGTGACTGGGTTTTTCTATTGAGAACTACTGATTAATAATATTTTCAGCAGCAACTTTATGGACACCCTCTTTTATTTTAACAATTGCACAAAGAAATCAGTATGGGTCTGTTACTGCAATGTGTTTAATTCTGTCTCTTATCTTTTTTTAATCAGTTGCACCGGAACTTCGATTTGTATGTACGGACTCGGGTTGATACGTCCCCGACTGTCATTTCCTGGCATATCATGAAGAGGTATTTTTGGGGATTTATTGGAATCATGCTAGGCATGGGTCTTGTTGGTGAGGTGTTTCCAGCATACCAACCTGTGGTAAGTTCTGAGTCTACTTTTTTTTTTTCAAGAGATCTTGAAGCTCTGTGGTTGGGGAGATCTGCAAAGTCCCTGCCTAAATTCTAGTGCCTCATACAGTTCAGGAAAAGGAAACACTCTCTCATCTATTAAAATCATTTTAAGTAGAACCTTAGAATTCCCTCTTCATTGTGTATAGTTTCAAGAAATAGGACAGTGGTAGAAGGAGGCTGTAAGGTTCTGCCTCTACTCCCCATTCAAGAAAGTACAGACTCTGGAGACAGCAGCATTTCAAAAGGAACCTTTTATTGGAGTGATTGCAAAACAAAAGCAGGCTCTAAGGTCCCCTTAGGCAATTCTGTTAGGATAAAGGTGTTAGAAACCCTTCCCCTCAGTCCGAGGTTGAATGAGCCAATCCACAGGTGTGAAGATGTTGTGAAGACGGTCATCCTGGGAAGGAGATAAGGGTCTGTTCCCAGGTGCTTCCTTCAGGAGGCTTCAGAACTGAGACCAAACAGATGGCTCTCCCCCCTTACACATTCCCCAAAGGTAAATCAAAGCACAGGGCAGATAGGTGTCAGAGCTAGAGTTATAAACTAAGGGATTACAGGATACTGTATTTTTCAGAGTATAAGACACACTTTTTTCCCTCCTAAAAGAGGCTGAAAATTTGGGTGCGTCTTATACTTCAAATGTAACTCCATGCGGTGCCCAAAATGGCTATCCAGAACAGCTACTGCCTTCTCTTACCCCTTCAGCACTTTGCCTGCTTTAATCCCTGGAGCTCCCTCTAAGGATCAGCTGTGCTTTTGAAGCTATTTTTCAGCCCCAATGCGAGCAAAACGATCATCCGTGCTTTGCCTGCTTTTCTAATTGCTGCCCCCTCCGACAATCAGCCGTCCTTTAGAAGCACAGCCCCAATCAGCCCCAACCTCAAAACCACCGAGCGAACAAATGTGCTAAAGCTGATGCCCAACCTCAAAACCAGCAAGCGAACTAATGTGCTGGGACTGGCCAGATGAATACCTGGTAGGCAGAATTTTTTTTCCCCTGTTTTCCTCCCCAAAAACTAAGGTGCGTCTTATACTCCGAAAAATACGGTACGTAGGAAACGAAGAGGGTAATAAGTGAATAAATGATCCAGGCCCCCTTCCCCACAGAAATGGCAGTATCACAATAGGGATCTGACAGTGGCATTATTATTTTTTTCCAGTTGTGGGGCGTGTCTTTAGTAGATATGAATGCATAAGATTTAATCCAGTCAAGAAGAGCTGCTGTTGTTAAAAGGGAGAGACACAGGCAGACCTTATTCAACATAGATGCCTTCCCAATTAAAAAAAGAGAGAGAGGAGATACTTTCCAAGTGGAGCTAAAGCAGTTCGTGTAGGGTGCCCATTGTGGACAACATTTGCATCATTGAAATAGCAAGTTGATCCAGAAAATTCAGACTTTGGTCCCAAAAACCAAACCTCTCATGTGAATACCAATTTTAGAGCATTTTTTTTTTACCACTAACTGAAGTTTTGTCCTCTTTAAGATTTGATACTAGTTGTCCTTTGCACCCTTTTTTAACTTTGCGCATAAGAGATAAGTGGCTTTGGTTTGTAAGGAACTTGTTTCTGAATTTGGAAACTTTTTAAACTTCACATTTAATTCAAGGATGTATTCTTTACTGGTGAGGAAATAGAATCTTGGAATTATCAGTGTAAGTTTCTTTCTGTGATAAATGGAAATATCCCGCTTCTTTGGATGAAAAAAAAAAATGCACTAATAGAATGGGTAGGTTTTTAAAGATATTTTTTAAGATCCTGGATCCTGGGTACAATGAATATATTCCATACTTATTTTATTTATTGTTCTTCTCTTTAAAATTACAGTATAATCCCTGCATCATTTTAAACTTGTCAGTTCCTGCGATGCTACGGGCCAAAGTATTCCAGACACTTCTGCCTCACATAGAAAATTCATGCATGTCTGATTTACTTAAAACTTGCCTCAGACTTCACTCATTCAAACAACAGCTTACAGTATGTTCCCCATTCATATCCAGGTGTCTCTTGTGGGAACTGTGCTTCTTTCCAAGGGATCCAGGACAATCTACACCTGGGGGTCTCCAAACTTGGCAACTTTAAGACTTCTGGACTCCAATTCCCAGAATTCCTCAGCCAGCTGGCTGAGGAATTCTGGAAGTTGAAGTCCACAAGTCTTAAAAGTTGCCTTGGTTGGAGACCCCTGATCTACAGTGTTGAATGTTTCAGGATTGCTACTGGGATTTAAGGTCAATGCCTTCTTCACTCTCCATCATCCCCATTGAAGTCTGTCCTGAGGTGGTTTGTAGGATTTCCTTCCTGTTGCTCAGCAATATGGGCCAGGCTCTGCTCTGTGAAGAAGGGATCCTTTTCCACCTCCGTATCAAGTTTCACCTCACACACTGCATTACATCAGCAGGCAATTGTTTTTTTTATACAAGAGTGAATAACGGTATCAGATTTAATCCTGGCTATTTGCACCTTCTGGTATGAGATTCTGCACTTTAAGCATTCCATGTTGTTAATTGATTCTTACTGTCTCCTTTCATTTCAGGGACCAAAGCAGTTTCCTTATCATAATGTATATTTGGAGAACAGAACAAATCACAATATTGAACCACTGTCAGAGAAGCACTATGAGATTTAAAAGTATCTGGAGTTGCAGGGTTTTTTTTTTTTTTTTGACCTTTATTTTACCTAATTCTTGTTTTAAAGATTGTCATGGAAAAGCAACGATGCTTCTTTCCAGGTGTAACCTATATCCTATCACTTTGTTCATAAAGAGAGGAGAAAAATTACAGAATGTTGGGTCATTATGTGTTGGGCATGAGAAGTCTGAATGGCATAAGGAAAAGAAAAATAAATGTAATAATATACAAATGTATCAGCTTTGCACTTGTTAATTCTTCCTAGCAATGGGAATATATCCTTGGGCTTCACTAAATACGCAAATCAGAGGTACAGTAACTTACATTTGGGGATCCTTTTGAACTTTCAATATTTCTGCATCAATATGACCTAACATGTAATCAGACTTCCACATAAGTCCTAAAACAAAATAAAGTAGCCAATTAAATGAGTCAAAATAATGGAAGAGAAGTCAAAAACATTGTACTTGTTCATTTATTCATTGAGAAAACTTATTCAAAGCTACATATGTTTAAGCACTGCTGTATCAGGTTGCTTCAGATTTAAGATCCTGTCTACTTGAAAGAATACCCAGTAACAATTATCTGTTGGGTGAATGTAAAATAGATTTTTAGGTACTTTTTAAAAACCATCATTTATATTGGTTATCAGTTAAAACAGTAACAGAGTTGGAAGGGACCTTGGAGGTCATCTAGTCCAACCCCCTGCTCACGCAGGAGACCTGTACTAGGGATTCAAACTGCCGACCTTTCTGATTGACAAGCTCAGTGTCTTAGCCACTGAGCCACCTAGTCAGGGTTATTGATTGCTTTCGCATTTTGGCCAGAGGCCCAGTTTTAGGATATGGTATAATTTAAATCAGTCTTTAGAAAAAACATAGAATTTTTTCAGACACCTTGCTCTAGAAGTCAGCTTGCCTTCTCAAATACCAGAATCATAAACAACAGACACAAAGCATTTGAGCAAGTATGTTCAAATGTCAGACCTGAGACCATGGAGTTTCTGAATCAAAAATCAAATTCTAATCCCATCCCAGATGGTTATTATATGCCAATTGTATCCCTTGTATGTCTGAATTACACGTTGAGTGGTCAGCCATTTTAATTATAATAAATAACTGAATTAAATTACTGCCTCTTCCCTTGATGAGAAAAGCTAAAAGTTCAAGATCCCCACAGCTATTCTAAGTTTACAGTGGATTGTTCTGAGCTTCATACACAACTTAAATAGTCAGAATAGCATTGAAATGGTTCTGGTAAGGGAGGAGGAATTATTCTAAATTCAAAACTCCTGATTGAAAGGCTGGATAATTTTTCTCAGTATTGATCATTAAGTCATTTGATCTCACTATTCATTTGCTTCTAACAGACGTATCCAGTTTCACATAGATTTCCTAAAGTTTAATTGAATTAATTAAAGGGTAAATATGGTTTCAAAATTAACGAAAATCATTCAAGACTATAGAATGGAAATTACAAATGCTGCATTCTCTTAAATCTGTTAACACGATACAATCAAAAGACTAAATTGAATGAGTTTGTTTAAATTGCTAATGCTTAATATAGCCAATAAGCAAGTAGATTATGTGTTATCTAGTACCAGATGCACCACAATAACTTGTAGTTTTGGGTAGGTTTGAATTAGAAATTAATAGTCTTCTGCCTTTATGACAAAAGATCCAAAATTAAATAGTGGGAGCACAATTTATCAGAATGAAGATTTATATGAACTTGTCTCATGAATGAGAAACATCGGCTATAAGGCAAATCCATGTTTGGCTCTTAGGAAGGCAATTCTGATGTGTGAGTAAAATAAATGCCCCAAATAGGCCTCCAAATTACCTGCAACCATGTAAGACAAATTGTCTTTTGCTTACAGGTAGTCCTCAACCGACAACAGTTCATTTAGTGACCAAAGTTACAACAGCACTGAAAAAAAGAGACTTATTAGCATTTTTCACACAACTATTGCAGCATCCTGATGGTCATGTGCAGGGGTGAAATCCAGCAGGTTCTGACAGGTTCTGGAGAACCGGTAGCGGAAAATTTGAGTAGTTCGGAGAACCGGCAAATACCACCTCTGGCTGGCCCCAGAGTGGGGTGGGAATGGAGATTTTGCAGTATCCTTCCCCTGCCATGCCCACCAAGCCACGCCCACAGACCCGGTAGTAAAAGAATTTGAATTTCACCACTGGTCATGTGATCAAAATTCAGACTGTTGCAACTGACTCATATTTATGACGGTTGCAGTGCCCCTGGGTCAGATGATCCCCCTTTATGACCTTCTGACAAGCAAAGCTTGTCCGTGGAGAAGCCGGATTCACTTCACCCCCGTGTTACTAACTTAATAACTGCAGTTAACAACTGTGGCGAGATAGGCCGGAAAAATGGGGTAAACGTCACTTAACTGTCTCACTTGGCAACAGAAATTGTGGGCTCAATTGTCACAAGTCAAGGACTATCTTCATTTGAACAGTTTGTATCAGGAACACTGATTAAAACAAAACAAAAAAGTAGGTAAATCGCTTAAAAACATTACAAACGTTATTAAGAAAAAATGTGCTTAGAAAAGATCTCTGTGTTAGAGAAAATAACAAATGAAAACACGATCCTTAAAAGGATAATAAAATGGATTGTCCTGCTTAGGCCTTTCCACATAGCCAATGGCCAGGGTCCTGGGCATTCTTCCTACTTGCCAATGGCAGTAAATGCCGGCAGTCAAACTTGGTGGAAGTACTTTTCCCCGTTTATTGTGCTATTTCGTTTTTGCTGTTTTCAAATAACACAGGCCTAAAATTCCATTCAGCGGCACTTTTCTTGTCCAGTAGAGGGCAGTATCATCCTTTCAGTATTGGCGCTTCCTTGGGTGCCAAGCAGCTAGATAAAGAATGTAGCGGTTGAAACAGCCTCGTATTACTAATGAGAGAAACAATTAATGTAATTAGTATTCAATTAAAAGATTTGTGCTTTTTTTTGTAAAAACTTTTTATTTTTTAAACAAACAATGCATCATTAATCATTCAGTGTGTCATCTGAATACATATTTTGTGTCCTCTACTATATTTCTATCATATCTTTATATCTTTATTTCATTTATTACAACATTCTTTCCAAATTTCTTACGTTTATATTCATTCATTTTATGTTTCCTTTCTCCCCATTTTTCTTACTATGTATATTTGATTATACATGTGATAACTGGAGCGAGGATTGTGTTTGCACAAAATTGGAAAGCAGAGAAAATCCCTACAGAGGGAGAAATAATTAAGAAAATATTGGAATGTGCAGAAATGAATAGATTAACTTTGGTAATTAAAGAAAAGGAAAATCAGAGTATTTTAAGGTACGGGGGCAAGTTTTTTCAATGGTTAGAGAAGAGATATACATGAAAATTAATATAATTAAAAATTTGGGGGGAAATTTTGTAATGAATGAAGATGTCAAAGTAAGATAGAAAATATTTGTTTTGAAATAGGAAAAACTAGGCGTTTAAGCAGGTGAGTGGCTAACAATGGACTGAGAAGACAGCAGAAGAGAGGAAAATCTAATAGATGCAAGAGATTGTTAGATTGAGAAGACCATACATATGAGGAAGAGTCAGGCTATTACAACGTAATAGCAACTCAGTTAAGAATAGTAAATAAAAAGATGGTTAGCGTTCACTCTCACACACATCTGGGACAGCAGAGAAAAACCAAATTCCCCCAAGCCCAAAGGGGGACTTTAAAGATTAGAATTCTTTATTGGCCAAGTGTGATTGGAAACACAGGGAATTTGTCTTTGGTGTATATGCTCTCAGTGTACGTAAAAAGACAACATATATTCGTCAAGAATCATAAGGTACAACACTTAATGATAATCATAGGATACAAATAAGCAATCAAATCATATTAGGAAACAGTCAATATAAATCGTAAGGATACAAGCAGCAAAGTTACAGTCATACAGTCATAAGTGGAAGGAGATGGCTGGTGGGAACAATGAGAAGATTAATAGTAATAGTAATGCAGACTTAATGAATAGTTTGACAGGGTTGAGGGAATTATTTGTTTAGCAGAGTGATGGCGTTGGGGGAAAAACTGTCCTTGTGTCTAGTTGTTCTGGCGTGCAGTGCTCTATAGCATCGTTTTCAGGGTAGGAGTTGAAACAGTTTATGTCCAGGATGTGAGGGGTCTGTAAATATATAAAATAATACATCACCACCCCAGTGGTGGGTTCCTCCCGGTTCAGGCCAGTTCTGCCGATTTGGTACCGGTGACGATATGACGTCACCGAACCGGTTGTGCCCCCCTGCCTCCCCCCACCCCCGCGTTATTCTTACATTTTATTTGGCCCCACCCCCAATCTAGTGCTTCCTCCTGAGTCCCAACTGATGGGCTATAAGGAAAAAAACTGTTTAAACTCTTTCCTCTGTGCTTCAAAGAGCCGCCCTACAGCTGATCAGTGGTAAAAGGCAGTTTGGTGGTAGACCGGTGCCTCCAAAAACAAATGAGTAGACTGGTGCCTGCAAAAATAAATGGGTAGACCGGTACAGCTTTGCAAGCAGTTAAAAGCCTGGTAGAACAGTACCTCTGCTAAATCCTAAAGAATTGTCACATGACCATCAAGCCACGCCCACAAAATAAGCCACGCCCACAGAACCGGTAGTAAAAAAATTTAGAACCCACCCCTGCACTATCCCCAACCCTTAGGGCTGATCTAGAAGGATACTGTAGTTAATGGCATTGAAAGCAGCCACTGATAATACAAAAAGAACAAGGATATATCCCATTACTGACAAAACATCAACCAAAAGTGGCAAGCGCTGTTTTGGTCCCATATCAAGTCCTAAGTCAAGATCGGAAGTGGTTCAGATAATTCCCTTCATCCAGGACTCTAAGAAACTGTTGCACTTTTCTTTTTTTTAATCTGCCCCAATCTGGCACATTTCCTAAAGAGGTATAACAGAAACTGGGCATTTTCATGAAGCCTGAAATCCCAATGCCAAGTAAATGTCAGTACAGAAATTCTCTAGTTCTTTCCTCTCACTTCAGGGCAAAACTGATCAACCATCACTTTTGCCAGAGGACTGAAAGATTCTTGCTAATAACAACATCCAGAACCACTATAAGCTATTGAAGCTAAATGTGCCCTGCCCTGGGCTGATTTTGGCTTTGATTGTGACAAATCAGCACTCAAGGACTAACATTCTCTGTCCCCACAAGGAAGGGAATAGCGATGAGAGTTGGGAATTGGT